TTAAAGAAAAGTGGACATGGCACGCTGTATGGTATTCTTCTCGCACCCTTTATCTGCCAACAATCCTGGCATGGTTGGGCACCCTTGCTTTCCTCCCAGGGCGGGGTAAATATACCCTGTAGGTATTGCGGCATTATGTCCTAGAATGTGTTCACTGCTAGAGGGAAAACCTGGTCAGATATTTGTTCCTGTATCTCTTTCCTTTAGCACCTTCTTTAGTTCTTTGACGCGTTCTCTCTACTTTGTCGATCAGCCTTCCAACCACTGTTTTAATCCCTTGTTGAAGATGGCGGCATGTCCAAGGCCCCATGAGTATGCAAGGTAAATCTTTCTCGCCCAAATCGTACAGGTAGCTGAAGTGGATAAGAATATTCAGGGAGCACCCAATCCAGGTCATTGTAGGAAGTGGCAAGAGGTCCTACTTTGTGCACCCTGGAGCCTTGTCATGGTGCAACACGTCAGCGTTGAATGCTCGAGTTAGTGGCCCATGGAAGGAGAATGGGGCCGGCGGGCCCTTGGACTGGACTGATTTTGATGAACAAACAATCGAATGTGTTTTAAGCTACCTTTACACACAAGACTATTGTGTACCTGACTCAGCGTCTGATCAGCATGGCATATATTTGAATACTGATGATACCAAAGGTAGGCATGGCAAAGTTGCAAGGGAGGTGGTCCGCTAATTTAATCCACAGTCAACACCAGCGTCGAGCCCATATCTGTCGTTGCAGAACCCCCGCCCTTTAATACTGGATCTGCAGATACACCAACGCTCGATAGGCCTCTAACTCCCTTGAGCCGGTGCCTCCGAGTTGGTTTACCAGCAGAGACTTCCCAGACTGCTGCGGGCGGTATTACGAAAAGAAAACTCCAAAAGGCAGAAAATAACCCTGCCGTCGATATCCTGCTCCATGCGAAAGTGTATTGTTTTGCACATCGTTTTCTCATCCCCGACCTTGAGGGCTTTGCGTTACAACGCCTAACACAAGTTCTCTTGATCGTCGATACGCATAAATACTCACTATTTCCGTACCTAGCAGATGCTATCCGCCTCATCTACGACTCAACACCTAGCGCACAGCTACAGGATAATCCAGCTCGAAAACTGTTATCTCAATATGTTGCACTGAAGTATACTGAGCTGGCAACTGAAAAGCTCACGAAGCTTTTAGAGGAAGGGGGAGAATTTCCGACGGATTTGTCGCACAAACTAGTCAGGCGAATTACGGCGAGCGAAACTGGGGCCCAATCTTTGGAGGAGCAGATTGATGGGCTTCAAATTAAGGTCGATGAGTTGGAGGCTAGCTGTCAGGAAAAAGAAAGTCAATTGCAAAAAGCTAGAGACGAGCTTGTGGAGTGGGAGAGCTGGGATCGTGGAATTCCTGAAAAGTATAAGAAAGTAAAAAGGAGGTTGGGACACAATACACTACCCTGGGATGTTTAGATGCGAAAGAGTGGTGTCGCTGAGACTGCTTATTTGGATAAGGTGATTTAGGAAGATTAATATTTGCCGCAGATTGCACCGGGCATAGTCCAACCATCTAGAGAATTTCAGGGCGGAAATGCTGCACAAGTGATCAGGTAAAGTCGTTCCAGCAGTGAGTGTGCATTTCATTCTCTATTCTCTAAGTTTCCCCCCCACTTGTCTCTATCAGTAAAGTGTCGTGGGACGATAGTCCGAGTCACTTCTCTCTACAATATATTCTCTGTTGCAAATTATATGTCTGAACCGTAAGTGATCCATGGGTCAAAGACAACTAAACTAGTAAGTGCTCTAGACCGCCCGACAAACTCTCGCCAAAGCTGTGATGCGACATTCCCCATTGTCACCGGATTCAGATGGAAATAATTATTCCTCTTCTCTACTCCAACAGATCTTCAAAACTGTATCCCTCATGCTGATGTACAATGTATTACTGTGACATAGAGTAACTTCTCCCTCAATGTATTCTGCATCAATGAGTGGTAATGAAACACCTTTTTCTCGAGCCTTTATAGCTTCTTCGTAGTTGAGCCACTCAATGGAGTATTTAAAACTTGCAAAATCTGCGATGCACTCAACTTGCATCTCCAAAGAGCCTGCACAGTAAAACTCTGATGTTTCTTTGGGACCGATGGAATCTAGCTTTTTTGAGCCTTGAAGCAATGCTACATCACTCCTAGACCCGGCTTTTTGCTGCTCTGGACAGAAATACCGCGGACGAGATGAAGTAGAATCCGAGTCGCTGACTTCTGGCTTCACAAATTTATCCGTACTGTGAGTATCACAATGGCTTAAATTCAGTGGAACGGTCGCCCGCCTGTGCTTCGCCAGACCAGGTTGTGCTATTTGGTTTAATTTCGACGGCGTGATGTTTACTGTTGTCCCAGACACCCCGAGTGTGAAGAGGGTACTTTCATTAGGGCATGGGTAGAGGGTTTTCCGGCCAGCCGACAGAAGCGCAGTGCGGCTCTCTCTCAATATATCCTCTAGTGATTGGCAAAATCGTTGCTCCAGTTCTCTCAGCTGTGGTACCCGAGGTAGCCGCCATCCAGGATATAGCCGTCCATGGGACCGGGGTGTATATATCTTCTTGTATACCTGGATGAACAAGTTGCAAAGAAAGCAAGCATCTTTGCTCGAGCAGATCACTCGCGGAAGTGACGCTGGCGATCGCAGTTCGCAATATGTGATGATTTGAACCTCGGCATGGATCTTCGCCTCTTTTATACTCTTTTTAACTTGACGGGAGAACTGGTCAGTAGCCCTTTGCTCACCCAAGTCCAGAGCGCGGCATATTTCTTTAAAAATCTGCGGCTGTTTGCCCTTGGGGCTTCCCTCTACAACTTTGGACAACAAGTCTGGTGTGTATCCGTCAAGTGAAGGCGTACTAAATGCGTCCTGCGATAGGTGAACAGGTACCGTCCTCATTTTTCGAGCCAATGGAAACGTTTTCGCAGTCCGATACAAGAATCTTGCGGCATTTCGATATTGAGAGACTTTACCGACGATATTCAGAAAGCTTTCTCTTGCACTGGGACTCATATCGCGATTCGGTATAAGGTTGACTATTACCGGAAGCTGCTCGACCTGGTATATTTGATAAATGCCATGCACAAGATCTACTAGCCGCGGGGTGACCTGATATCGAGACCACGAGTCGACAAGTTTTCTAGCTTCCTTGACTTTGGATGCCAATAGTTCCATGCTTATTAGGAGACTTCTATCTTCCAGTTTACGCCGATCAATCCTCGCAAAGGCCATCGCTGCTTCGTCAAGCGTATCCTTGATTGATCGTTTCAGCGGTTTCCTTCCTGTAGGGCTTAGTCGCAGGCGGGAGAGGATGCGACATGAACACATTGAGACGACCATGGAAAGAATCTGGTCTTTAATATTAAGTGACTCATCTGATTCTGGTATTGTCAGCGTCTGAAAGAGACAATGATTGGTCACTTACCACTAGAAATTCTCGCAAGAACTTTGAAAATACCCTCAAACCCTTGTTGGACACGATGAATCACACCGTCTCCATCATGGACTTTAGCCTTGTTAACAGCCAGGATCACGTTTAAGGCACATGAGTCCAAGTCTTCCTCAATACACACGGCGGGAATGTGTTCAGCATCATCCTTGATATGCGCAAGGAATGCCAGCGTCCCGGCTAGCTTACGCTCTCGGCCAAAAGATAAGGAGTATGGCTCGTTATCGGGTGGTGCAAGGCCAACTTTGTTGGATATTGGTGGAACGGGGATACTATGAAATAAAGACAACGTGGCTATGTTTTCAGCGCAAACTATGGCAGGATCACAAGTTTGAGGCATCGAGCCAGGAAATTTGAATTCTAGTTGAATGTCCGAAAGAGTACTCGCGGTCTACGGTTTTGATCCGACAATTCTTGACCTACCTGATGAAGACGTAGATAAATGTGCCTCTTTCCCCCTGCCCCACCTGAATCGTCGTGTTACCACAAGAGTGTCTCTCCCCCTTCTTACCCCACTCAGGAATATTGATAATTTACTGATTATTGACCTGTTATTATTGGCCCGTGTAAATAGTAAGGCAATGGCTAAGGGCCTGGGGGATAATCGCTTGATAGGTTGTGTGCAATATTTGCCAAACCCCAAGCAAGGCTTAGAAATCAGGCACCCTAAGAATATCGACAAAAAATACGATACGGCATGAGGCCACACCATCTACGCCATATCAATATCTGATGAGAAAGGCCATCTCTTTCTTTGTTCTTTCTGTCCTTGCAGCATCCATTTATTTTGTGGGTCCCGCCTTTTGCGTGGTAGTCAAACTAAAGCTTCCGATTGGCCTTGGCAATTGGCGCTGCTGATCGTGTTGATAAAATCCATTGTGAACCAATGAGATTAGAATCTTTTCTGGTGCTGTATAAAGCGCCGAGGAGCATTGTGAAAGATATTGGTTCTGATGGCAACAGATTCCTTCGTGGTCACGACATGACGAACTGAAAATGTCTCCATTAGAAATGAATCGCTTACGACATATTGGCTGGTTTGATTAACGCTGTTCTACACACTAGTCTGTTGCAAGTCACCCTTACTTGCTGTGTTGTCTCGCTATTAGATTTCCTCAGATTAACAGAGATTATTGTCTCATGCACATTCCAGCCCCGCCTTCGCCTCTGTCTCTGTGCCCGCTGCTGCGCCCATTTTTCCGACTTGCATTCCCAACCGCTCCTCTTGTTGTAATATTATCACCATTGCCATTATTATTATTACGTCGCTTTCTCTGCTCCGCCGCTACAGTATTGTACCGTCAAGTCTTCCTCGAAAGCATCAAAGTTATCACGCCGTAACCAGCTGGAGATTTGCTTATGGACACAGAAACACCCCTTTACCGCCTTGAAATAGGGGTACCTTCGACCTGTGTTATCCACGCGCTCGTTAAGCTGCACCCAGCCAGGGAGGTTTTGGTCCGGATTGCTTGAAACATCGAACTGAATGCATCTCCCGTAATCGATCTCGAGCAAGAGTTTGGCAAAAGAAAGGAGAACGGCGTTTCCCGTTTTGAACACACGAGACTCAGCTGAAACAGGAAGGTTCGATGAGAATGACAGACATGTCAACGCCTTCTGAACACTTTTGTTGGGCGGGAAGAATATGTAGATGGTGTTGGAGTTCATGTTGGAATCATAGAAGTCTAAGAGACAATACCCTAGTCTTAGGGCAAGCTGCCGCCTGTCCTGCAGGCTGTACATGGACGGTAATGGTGGTGATCCAATTGGTGAGAAAATAGAGCCGGGATAATCGGTTTGGAAAGCACCACTCTTGACCAGCTCATCGAGTGATCTTTTTGAACACGCTTTGAGATCCAATGTATGCCCCCCAGTCCATCGATCCATAAGCTTGTCAGACCGAACGTAAAGTTGCAATACATGCCCTTCCAGGCGATCCCTTTCGACGTGGTGGCAGAGGTTGTTGATCGTGTTGATGTCATAATTATATCTGTCGGTCGTTGTTAGTGACCAGAACATCGGATGAGTATATGATGCTTACTCGGACAAGTCGCAGTATGCTGCTTGCCATTCGCCCGGTTGTGCGCAGGATGGGAGCAACAGGTATAGTTCCTGTTGAACATGCCGAGGCAGACTATTATCTGGAACTTTGAGCAAGATCTCGTGCTGTGTCCCACATCGTAGTCGCTCAAAGAGACTGCGAAACACCGTTATGGCTTTGTCTCTGTGTCGGGTATCGCTCCACATAGGACCTTTGACGGTGAAAATTGGCTGACCGCTTGCTCCGTGCCGCACGGTAGGCGCTTGAAAAAGTTCCCTGATGAGTCGATTGCATTCCATCACAGTGTACAGATATTGTTCAGCCTGGCTGATACCTCTTGGAAGCTCCAGCAGTACGGAATCTGGACCACCGGCCAAGTTCAATATCCCCGTTGATGTTTGGAGAAAGCTTACAAGGCCTTGCAAAAACGGATACGCAGATCCTTTGTATTCGCATGTTTCTGCTACGCCCTCGGCATGTACTGTTACACGCCTACAGTTGCCAAGTCTGCTCAACAGGACACACACACATTGCTCAGTTTGGCTTGACAGTTGTGGAAGAGAGCCATCGGCAAATAGGGTCTCGTTCTCTGTAGGCCAGGATCCCCCGTAGCTCGACCCAAAACAGCTGCTGAAGGTCTTGACTCCATCCAGGCACTGTTAGCGCACTAGGCTCACAGTATGCCTTTCCTTCCTCGAGGAGCCCTGCTATGGTTTGGAGCACACGCCAGTCTTCACATTCCAGCAAGAATGCCATTACCGGGAACAAGTGGTGGAAGTAAACGTGTGAGGGTTAACTGTCAGGATTCACCTTGTTAAGGAACGTCTCAGGCTCATTGAGACGGTCCTTTGTCAGGCTGAGGTCCAAGTCATATCTCGTGCGCCCTAAACATGCAGTACAACATAAAACGTCGCTATTTCCTGCCACCCCACCTACTCCTTCAGTCTCACCAAGCACCGTCACCAGTGTAAATTCACAACTTAATATTGATTTAAACCACTGTTCATCATGGACGTACCGGATGACAACCATCATTTGATATATGACTTGCCTGTGCAGTGTGAAGATCTCTTTGATAAAGTGGTCAGAAATGCAGCACTTCAGCCAGTTCTCCTGGATTTCCAAACACGGTTCAGAGCGTGGACTGTCGGTCTGAAGGTATTCGCCCGGCCAAACCAATGCCTTGACTGGCGGTTAAGACAGAGGCTTGATATCCGTGATGTCATTGTTCAAACGTTGACAATTCTCCAAAGGGATCTAGTAAATCGTAAGTACCGCGTCTATAGCTCGAGAAGGAAAGATAATAAATGCTAACATAAATATCAGTCAGACAATCAGATACCGTTGACAGGAATGCCACGCGTCCCACAGAGACCGAACCCACCGAGAACCAGTTCAGAACCAAGTCTATAGATACTGCAGCTTTAAAGGCAGTCAATGGATCACTCGATGAGCTTTATCGGCTGGAAGCTGGAATACGAGATTCCACCTTTGGACGTCTCACTCCCCGATTCCCAACCTTTGTTGGCGATCCACATTTAGAGAGCTTCATGGGGCTGGCCTCGCTATGCATTCGAACCTTGTATCCAAATGCTCATCAACGTCTCCAACGCCACCTGAGCGAGTCTATGACTGAGCGATATGCTGCCATGAAAAACACTAAGCCTCGCCAGCAGGCATTCCAGACTCCGCGCGACAAGAACTCGTCCCCTATGCTGACGATTGACGATGAGCAGCAATGCAGCAAAGCGAGGCCTCCACCAATACAAGATGAGATAGAGGGACATCATTCAATATCAAATGAAGACGGAGAACAGAGAGCTCTACAGCGTGGAGTGAAGGCTATTTCCCTATCCAACCTATCTTCCACGAATACTGGTCAACTTAAACCGATGCTTTCAGGTTCATTAAGCCACAGTCAGCCAGACCAAGCTTGGTCCATCCATCTTAGACTAGTCGAATATCCTTCCCCACCCGAAAGGGATGGAACTAACATCGTTGCCTGTGACTGGTGTTCAGAGCCTCTGGATGAGAAAACCCTGGATGGAAGAAATTGGCAGTAAGATATATCCCAACCAAATGCTCCATGCGCCCAACTGTTAACCGATATTAGGAATCATGTGGACCGTGACCTGAAACCATACTTGTGCATATTCGAGGAGTGTTACGAACGATACCCGTCTTTCGCGACTTTTAATGACTGGCAGAATCATATGATTAGCCATAGCCGGCGCTGGCATCGAGAGATATATAAAAAGCCGTCGTGGATTTGCGCTGTATGCGACTGTCACAATGATGTCTTCAGTAGCTCAGAGGCTTTCTCGAGTCATAGCAAGGAACTTCATTGCCCGGAGTTCACGGCTGCTCAACTCGAGAGCCTATCGTGGCTAAGTGAGACATCACTCCCACGGCCCTGTGACGTATGTCTCCTATGCGGCTACAGAGTGGTAGAAAATAGCTCCCAAACGCAGCGAATAAAACCTTTTCTGCATCGTTGTGCAAAGCGTACTCGGGAGCCGTCAAGGGGAACAAGTAACAAAAGCGCTAGGATAACTTATGACAGCCATCATGCCATGCCGCATTGCTCTATCGACATCTCCTCTAGCAGCTCTAGTGAAGATGAAGATTCCGAGCATTTGACTGTCCCAGCCCACACAGAGGTAGGCGACATGGTTGCCCAACATGTCGCCGCTCATTTCCAGGCACTGATGCTCCTGACAATCCGCCTGGCCTCCATACAGGTTGAAGATGAGGATATGCCTGGCGAAATAAGGAGCGACATTTGCGATATTGACGGTAGTGAAAGATCGATCAGTGGCCGTTTGAGTGTGGAGATGTCAGGTGTGAGTACAGCGCACTTGATCGATGGAGACGCATGTACAGATAGTGGGCCTTCAAGAGAAGGTGCGACTACGCCATGACATATAGTCTAAGGTTCATATATAAGCGATGGTACCCACCGAGGTCCTAAAGGTACGTACCATAGTCCAGTCCTTTGTTCCATTTGGAGCCTGGTTGCTGAACTAGTGGTCTCTCGCAGCTTCTTGTGCATTGTGCTGTAGTGTCTATCCCAAGGATCTTCGTCGTTGAATACATGTTTAATGATAGACTTATATTAGTTGCAGTCGGTCCGAATGCAGGAGCTTCAGGTACCTAGTGGTCTATTTGTACCCCTGTTCCTAGCTCCTCCGGTAGCCGAGACATACGGCGTATTCAACTCTAGGAATATGAAGCTGTAAGCAAAGGTGTAAGAAGCTAAAAGACTAAGACATATATGTCCTTTTCGTCAGTTGGATGGTATATGAATTGGGAAGGGGCAACCATGGGCAGAAGAAATGAATTTGAGATAGAAGGCACGTCGTTCAGCTGGTCCAGATGAGTTCAATCAATACTACACAGCACAAACAACAACTACTACTACTGCTACTATACCCAATATCACTACCAATTTACTATATCATCTTTATATTTATTCAAGATCTTACAGCTTCGAACAGTCAGACCGTACATCCCAATCGACATACCATCCAGATTCTCTGCCACCGCATACTGAGAGGACAGGGAACTGCTCTCAAGAAACAGGAGCTTGAACAACGAGGGATTCGAAATCGAGTTCAGACCTGCGCTCGTTATAGTAGCCATGGAGCCCGGCCGCAACACTGGTGAGGCTAGAACACCAAAACTCGCTGAGCGTGCACGAAGAACTATCACCCGCACTCGAGGCTTTGTCCACGATTCTAGACAGAATCTTGCCAGCGGTGCTCGAACTGTTGGCCACAATGTTCGGATGGCGGTTGGGCGTGCGGCTGAGCGCATGGTCGACAACCTGCATGTGCTCTTCCCTGGACTTATCCGTCACCCGGTAGGAAGCTATCTAAAGAGGGCTTACGGCGAGTTTACAGTACTTGAATTAAGGGATGGGGTGCCATACCGAAACATCACAGCCCAACCAGAGTCGCGCAAAATTGTCACTTCTTTCCTGCGGTCCCTGAGGCTCTCCTATCGTTTCATACCAGATGTCCAGGGAGAACCCTGGTATCTAGATGTAGCGGATAACATAAATCGTCTCGTAGCTGAAGCAGGTGAGTCGACTATCTTTGGTGTAAACTACGTCCCCAGCTAATACAAAGTGCTGCAGGACAAATGCCCTATCCAGGCGGCGACAGGTTCCAACCCACCTTAGACCTTTGGCTGAGTAGGATCCCATTCTTAGTCAATATAGTTCAGCGGGAAGCAGGAAGAAAGATCGTAGATTCCCTGGGTTTTCCAGATGCAGAGCCACTTCTAACGATGGTCCTTCCGGAGGCCAATCAAACAATCCGGGCAGACGTCACCGTGGGGGACACGCGATATCGACTCCAGTGCCAGGTTGACTATGTGCTGTGGTACGGGTTCAAGGCCAACACCGACATGCTCTTAATCATCATCACGCCAAAGGCCATAGATGAAGTCCGATTCGCGGCGCCACTTGCAGCTATGTGTATGCTGATTACCCAGCCTATGTCCATTTACTTTTCATTCCTGGCTAATGGCAACAGCGTTGGTTTATCATCTTCGGAAAGCCGCTGGTCGAAATGCGGAAATCTACGGCCTCTATACAGATGCCCGGGACTTTTATTTCTACCATATCGATAATCTGGGACGGGTAGGCATACCCCAGTGCTTTACGCTTGGGTCACACCGCTGACTTGTCATTCCCTCAAGTACTCAACACAACCCTATGTCGGGGGAGATAGACGTCTTTTTTATGCCTGCCGGATGCTGGTGAAAATATTCGGCCAAGGATATGCATTGGCCAGAGCCATAAAATTGACTCCAGGGTTCGCCCGGATGACAGAGCTCCAAGTGGAACGAACTGACGACACTGTCTACGACCCCATACACCAGATTATGGTAGATCTGCGCATGCCCCACCCCCACCCAGACGTCGCAGGGTAGCACATTGCTACTTGCCGTCTTTATAGCGCTAATTCGGCCTTATATATTTTTTAAACTGGTTTGAGAATTGTCGGGAAGGCCGAACGTTGGGATGATATGGATGAACGCTAGGATCGATTGAATTGGACGCAGCATTGTTCCTTTCGAGGTGAAGACTAGCAATAAGCACAACTGACCTCTCAAGTCCCTTTCCTACCCGTATCGTAGCCTCCGTATTGCTTGATCAGCGGTATCCCACGCTCTCCCTGTCGTATAAATCGCAATCTACCTACATCATGTCCTAGTCGAATTCAATATGTATGTCGAGTCCGCAGCCGTACGTTGTAGCCCACGCGTATGGAGCGCAGCACTCAGGTAACGCATGGACTATGAGAGAAGAGTGCAGATAACTCGCCCGCTTTCCTACTAAGAGAGCTTTCTACCGTTTTTGAGAATCATAGTTCATGGCAAGGCAAAGCTAGGTTGCTGCTCAATAAGCATTTAATATGTGATGGGATATAGTCACCCACCCTTATCCCCAGGAAACGCCAAGCAGTCTTATGCCTGGACCTCACTAGTGGTGGAGCCAAGTCGAGGCTAAGGTACACTTACAAACTTTGGACTTTTACCCATTGAATTGAAGTACTGGGGTCTTGGTATTCGAGCATAGCCATAATCTATATTAATAAACTTGTGAGGATTACTCATATTTGTTAGTGTATACCTTTGCAGGAGCAATAACGAGTCAAATGTCATTGGATTATCTCATGGTAAAGATTAAGGATACTGGTTTGGGCTACGAATACCCGAAACATCACCATCTTTCCATTACATTGGGCTGAATGTACACAATTGAGACGATAGAAAGGGCCATACGAAGTACAGTAGTCAACCTTGAACATATTTACACCGCACGTACCCCCTCCTCATTATGTTAATCCAACTCTGCAGCCCACAGACCCTTTAACCAGAGCAGTATCCAACCTTGCTCGGCTCGCAATCACCCTCACAGCCATCGTACAGAACACAGGGATGATCAGCATCAGTGCAGACATTGACCAGAGTAGCAGTATCTCCAAAGCTCTGGTTAATACCAACAACCTCGCCACCATCACGGGCAGTGGTTCCCTCAACATAGACGTTCCGCTTGCACTGGCTGGAGCAGTTTCCGCAAGACCGGTACACCTTGCCGTAGTCTTCGGCGTAGAAGTTGATAATCTATGATCGTTAGTCTTGGTTTCAATCGAGTATGGTAGGGATAAGGGCATCTTACGTTCACAGTACCGCAGCCATTGTGCTGGACAACCTTGTCATCGGCGTGGTATGCTCCACCGCCGATAATCCAGGTCTGGTCTCCTTCCTTGTCGTTTTTCTGGGGTTATTGTTAGCAGCGAGCCGGAATGTAGGGTCGGCCGGGGGCATACGATGCTGATGGCATCTTCGCAGACATCCTCGAACCAGACAAATTCAAGGGTACAAGCTCCATCGCAGTGAACACCCTCGGCTTGGTCGGCACCAATGATGACGTTCTTCAGGGTAGCGCCGGAGTGGAGGTAGAAAACCGCATCCTTCCAGTCTCCCTCTGTTTGGCCACCGCAGGCACCAGACCCGCGGTCGTACTTGGCCCAGCCGGCGTCGAAGACCTCGCCGGCTGCAATCTCAATCACCGCACTGTTGGAGTAATGGGCTGTGGGCGTGGGAACACCGCCCTCGTAGCCCAAACAGGCCAAAGCCACAGGGAGGAACGCAGGAAGAAGGGCAATGCGAGACAACATGGCTAACCACACCTGATTGCTCTCTGGAGTTTGAGTCTCTGCGAAGATTGAAAAAGCTCGTACGAAGGCACTCGACCTTTATATAACCATGTCCATCACTCTCGAACCCTAATCCCATACTGGCAATTCGCCGGCGGCGAAAAGGGCGACTTGATAGAGAGCCACTTAACAAACCTCCATGTCTCAACCTGAAGCTGCCCGGTCCAGTATCAAGAGCGAGTGCAATTCGTTCCTCCAATCATGGCGATACATCCACCACGCCAGCCATATCCAAGTCGCGGAAACCCGCAATCTCCGGAATGCAGACTAACCCTGCCCAGCTTCTTGGCGGCGGAGCACGACTGCTTCCAGTCCTCCACTTTCTGCACGAATTGCATTGCCGAAGCTCGGTACTCCCGGACTTAAACCAGCGCTAGACGGTAGTTTGTGGCTGTGTAGAGCCCCGATGCATTGTGACTGGTACTTGCATGATCGACTCTGTAGCCGAGTGGGATTGTTCCTGGAATATCTCCACTAATGGGGTCTATAGGATGGACGTTATTGCTGGTGTTTATTATATGTTCAGTAATCTTGTTTACTTTGTCGCTGGCCCGGATGAGATCCATGGTGAAGGTGAAGATTCGTCCAGTTGTACTCTCCATGCCCCCGTGCACGAGTCGAGATAAACTTGACTTCAGAGTATTGAGTGGCCATGCTATACCCACACCTTAACGCACCTATAGCAATTTAGAATCCTAAGGTTGTACCGAACCAATGGGTGCGATAGTTGTATCACTTAGAGTGAAGTAACTCCACCAACCATGACTGCCAAGTAAGAAGGTGTAGCACGGTCTAGACCTGATGTGAAGACCATTAAAGTCCTGATCATTTCAGTCTGGAAGATTTGGCCTCAGGCCAATTCTCAGTATCTTTTGACCCCTTAGCACCGTTTCCTTCCTTGGTATTCCGTATTCCTTGAGCGATTTTAACCCAGCTATAGTAACCCCTTACCATGCTTTGACGGAGGGTTGGGGAGTTGTAATCTGTTCGAGTGAATCGCAAGACGATTGGTGGCATGGTTCTCATAAGTTCCCATATCTATAAGACCCTTGAACTGATTGCGGATGGTTTATATGAGACATGGCGCATGGCTTTTAGAATGTGGGCTTCCGGTGCGCTTAGCGGGAGATAGTATTCTTTTTACAGTCGCCCTTCTTTTCTCGAAGTTATATGATCTTTGTATTGATAAATTAACTGCCGATTACCTGGATTGTGGAAGTACTTTGCCCGGACACCATCCAATATCAGTTTATAGTCATAGAAGCCACAGATCAAAATGTAGAAAGCGTTGAGACAAGCTACGCGTTTATATATATTGCTTTTTAACCACCAATAACGTACCCCTACGCTGAAGCCAAGTACAGCAAAAACTGTAAAAACCATCCGAGAGCAAAGGATATCCTCTTTGTACTCCTATACCTAAGGACTTGTTTTGGAACTCTAGAATCCGTGATGTATGGCAGATTGGAAACAAGCTTAGTTTATTATTGTCTCTGATATTACAAAACAGCACACCGTCTACCATACAATTGGCCGGATGGTGTAGTTGGTTATCACGTATCGTTAACACCGATAAGGTCCTGGGATCGAGCCCCAGTCTGGTCATTGCTTTTTGCTGTTTTTATTCTGCTTCCGGGATGTTCGGAGTGGATCTGTGGATACCTCCTTTTTGCCAAGACTGTTTTTGACCGAGGTCCATCGCCGCAGTGTTGGCGAGCCTGTATTAGGATTGTGACGTGGTGGATTTACTGGAAGAGGGTACTACTGTTCAAGAATCTATATTATCCTAGGACCTTCATCCTATGTTGCATTCAATAGGTAACAGAGTAGATGCTCTGTCCACACAGTAATATATAATTTGCCCTGTGTTCTCTCATCGTCCCATTGCCAGCATATATATATATATCTAGAACAGCCTAAATCGGATCTTATGAGCACTGATAGCTTCCTGATAGAACAAAACCTTTTTCTTTCGGTTGAGGACTGACTTCATCAGGATATCTCAACTAACTCTAGGATGCGCAAGTGTTGTGGAAATGTGTACTAGAGAGATGTTTCCGTTGATATCATGGACAACAGCGACAGAGATAGTGTCAATATATCGCGAAGTATGTATTATATCATCGCTGTTTTAAGTCCTTGCAATATCAAAGGTATCAGATACATCGCGAGTTCTCCAGCCCGGATATACTACATAACAGCGCTTCTATGAAGCATACGACTTAATTCTTCACAGCACAAGATTTCGCCCAATTCCTGACAAGTTTATTGTTGAAAACTATAGATTATTCAAGTGTAACGGTCGAATCTGCCTTCAGTTGAAAAATGCAAAAGGAGTGAATATATGTAATTTGAATCAAATATACTAATGTATTAAGTAGAATGAGAAATCGAATATAGCGCCAGCAATAAATTCACCGAATCAAAACGACTCCGCCTGATGAACCCGGCCTGGCGGATGTCCACGACGGATACCGTTCCGGACGACCTGTTTAGCAGCCCTTGCACTCCTTAACGTAGAGGTTGGCCGCGCGGTAGGTAGAGCTGTGGCGACCGTACCAGTAGACGGTCTTTACGGGGTTGTCGCCGTAGCCCTCGACGGCGAAGTAAGCGTTACCGCCGTGGGCGAAGAGACCCTTGTCGTCAACGTCGAAGCCGATGGTGGTGGCGCCCTCGGGGATGGCACCGGAGTGAGGACGGGTGAAACCGACGGGAGCCGTGTCCTTCTCGATGATGTACATGTTCTGCCAGCCGGTAGGGGTCGAGTCCTTGGCAGTGAAGGAGACGGCGCCGGTGTCGGGAGTGGCATGGACTAAGTGAGAAGATTAGTTATGTTATCGTTATATCGGTAGGGCTGCTGAGGGGCTTACAGATGGCGATTTCCTTGTTGGCGTCGGTGCCGTTGCCGCCGAAGTAGAGGTATTCTGCAAGGTGTTAGTGGATCGGTTAGATATGTCGCCAACGTAAAAGTAATGTACCTCTATCAGTCAGGACAGTGAGGCCACCCTCAGCAACGAGGGTGAAGGCAGGTGGGAGAGAAGCAGCGCTAACGGCACTGAGGAGACCGGCAACAGCAGCAATGGAGAACTTCATTGTGACGATGGCGGGTTTGAGAAAGAAGGTTGGAAAGACTTTGCAGGTAGATTGAATGAGAGTTTGCTGGATGAGTGACCTCGATGCAAAACGTGGATTGGCCTCGTTATATAACGCGAGAATGCTATTTTGGGCGAGACATGTTTTACGCTAAGAAACAAGTTGACATCACGATCTTTCAGCATATTGCATCGGTGGCCCTGTGTTTCTGATGACTAGTGTCCGATTGGTAGCTAATCCTGGTGCTATATAAACTTGTTTCAGAGTCCCTCATTCTCGGACGATCATTACCACATTGTTCTCCATCACCGCTTCTGACATCGATCTGTTGGCCGGGGAGAGCCCGACGACCGCTATATTGCCCTCAACATATTAGTCGACGGAGTTCTACGAAGAATACTCCCCCGCTCATAGTTATGAGTGGCTTGTCTTAGTTATTGAAACCCGAGAAAGAATAGCACATAGGCCAAGGAGAGCATCCCCTAAATGCGGAGTCACTGCGGGACAAGATGGGTCCACAGTGAGGTCATATAACACGGTTTAATATAACCGCCAGGTTATGCAACCCTGATGCTATTGTCTTGAAATGAGAGGTGTAGGCAGGTTGTCAGAGGGATACACAAGTATACTAGTCTTGCAAACTATACAATACCATTCTTACCCTATTTCTAACACCTTTACGGTGGCAGAGTCCCCTCAGATGTAAAGCCTCGGAATTAATGTCAGGCTCTTTAACCGCCTGTCGTTGCCAATTATCCGCTGATGGTCACTAGTGGAGCCCCGCTAGGCATCTATAGTGCCGGCGAAAACCCGGGAAACCGTTGGCTTCTAGAACCAATATTGGGCAGTATCCTACCAAGTCAGGGCTGAATAGCGTGGTTGACTAGTATGATCTTCAGGGCTATGTTGAACTTAAGCGGAACAAGGCCGCCAGATTGCTACAGCGATCAGCGTTCCTACTCCGGCTCCTTTTGGAATATCCTTGGGAGGTACCGCATCCAGCCGGTCGCAAACTAAGACAAAGCCATGGTGGAGATCCACAGCGAAACCTGCGCCAGTTATGCCGCTCTTGCAAGACTCGGCATACTGGCATGGAAAAGGTCGATCGTTATTTTCTTGATGAGGAAGTTCAGTCATGAACCGCTGCCTTGTATCTCGAGACATTCTTGTTTGATTTACAAAGCTGCCTCGCGGAATATTCACCAGCAGCAAGCCCGGAGTATTCGGGGTTCTTTGACTTCGACTTTCAGAAGAAGGTGTACGGTGAGGACTTGGACTTCTGGAATTCTGCAGTGTACTTACCAAACTTTCGGGAGCTTTCCTGTGGCCATCGGGGAAGTCCGCATACAAATCAGCTCCACATTCCTGATGATTCAGAGTTAGCGGTAGTTTACAGGTTAAAGGTCCACTTGTGTACGTACACACTTCAGCTCAAGTCATCAGTCACCAGGCTTTGACTCCGGCCGCATGCCCATGCACTTGAGAGTACACCAATGGGCCACTTTTAGCTTCTGTGAGAGCTCCTACAACGGCTGTTAAACTTCTGCGCGGGAATCCCCACAAACTGGACTGATACTGGATGTAGTATGAGCGGCTAAATTCGACTCGTACATATATCGCAAGACTGTCAAGCTTCTAGCCGAATAGTAAGTAGTTAGTCCGTTAATTTACAATAATTAATAGACAATGCTTGTGCATTCTTCTTAGATAACCCAGCACAGCCACGATAAGTGTAGTGAGATTCAGTCTCTCCGAAGTCCGCAGCCGTACCCACACTGTCTGTATCAAACCATGAATAAGAATAATACTACTAAGGCAAGGCTGATGTACTCATCAAAGTAGCAAGGTAATATCCCTAAACCACAGCTCGAGCTCACACATTCCTAGGAACATCATATATCATGAAGTACGCTGCATCTTCATCAGGCCCGCCAAACTTCGAATCATCCTAAATAACTCTATCGACTTCCTGAAACCCAAGTCGCGCGTAAATCCCTTGTCCGGCATTGAAAGCAACGGTGAAACGGGAACTCCAGCCTGTTCAGCGTACTTGATCCCGCTGGCAACAAGCGCCGTGGTGATTCCCTTTTCATTGTTCCCGGGGTGAACACCGAGATAGTCAAGCTCTAACTATTGTTTAGTTATCCACTTTTGTTGCTAAAGGTCATCGAGGCACACATACTGATGTATGGCTTCTCTGCTAAGATGTGGTCCATGAGAAATTGATTCCTGCCACCGAGGCTATCCATATCCTCTCTCGAACTCCACCAAGCCTGGTCCGCCAGCTGCTGATTTTGAATTCCCAAACAAATACAGTTGATGGCACACAAGAGGAGTACCAAGTAAAAAGGATGAGTCTACAAAGGAGCGAATCTATGGATAATCATTAAGGACATGTCGTTTTCACTACAGATACCATGCCTGGCTACATCTGAACAAAGATACTGAGTTTCGCTAATGCGTCAAGCTAGTACGACGAATCAAAACAGCTAAATTGTCAAAGAGCTAAAGCCAAATGAGTGACTACAACCAACAGCAAGCGCTTGCTATTCTTGACCAAACAAAAATACACAAGTAGACGACAGAAAACGTGTACAACGACCGCATACAAGTAAAGAAGAGGGAGGGACTCAGTGAGCAACACCCGGATCACACCAGTAACGCTCAGTGCTCACACAATACGATCCTCAACCACGAATCAACAGTTGTAGACCAACGTGAAGCCGATATCCGCGCCATTACCAACCGAGTTCTGGAAGTTGACGCTTCCAGCCGATTTCTGCCATTCACTCAACTGCACCAGCCAGCTCATGGTAGTTGAGCAAGTATTGGAGGCCAATACCGTGTGGGCAGACTGTGTGGTGGGTCCCTTGGGGAAGATGTACGTCGCCACCATTTCTCTTTTATGTGGTGGATGGCTATACGTCGGGACTGAACTGCCGTCTACTGGGTCCGCAGACCAGACGTCGGCCTGGGTGTCGCTCGGAGCGATTTGGCCTTCGCTCAGTGCGGGAAGCTCGATTTCGAGGCGACAGCCGGTAGCGCCGGCGGGGATGTTGGAGAAGGTCACCACTGAGATCTTGTTGTCTTTCAGTGGAGAGCCGCTGCGTTCGAGGGTAAATTGCTGGCCCGGGTAGGCAGTGTTGGGGTTTGCGGCGTCGAGAATGTTGATGATGGAGGGGGCTTGAGTGGAGCAGGTCCGAGGCAAAAGCTCGGTTGGGGTTGGGAAGCGATTGCTGTGGAGAATAGAAGGGCAATGAAGGCAATGGAGTTGATCATTTTGAAGAATGTAACTGGGGCAGGAAGCTTTTGGACTTCAGCTTTGAGGTACTCTTGTCAACTTGCGTTGGACTGATTTGACTAGATTTGAAGAAGGATGGCTGTTGCTTATTTATGTCCATTCCTTTCCATACAGATCCGTCTACAACAAGCAAGACCTCACAGCTCCAACCTATCTGGAAATTCCCTCATGTGGCTTCCCATATTACACGTATCTATATCCAATCAATATGCTCTTTCACCCATGGTGGCTGAGACATGGATGTCCAGTAATAGCAAACCGACATAAAACCAGTAACATTTGGCTAAAATAAGAGTCCGGCGTATACGAGTCACTCAAATTTACGAGCCAGACTAGCCCAAGAAAGGACACTTAGCTCATACACGTCGACTAGGGAGGGTAGCTCGCATGAAGCTGCATGAAACGCTCGATCTAGCCATTGCTATGTCGCAGTTCAGGATGTGAATATTCAAGGCATACCATCCATTTCAAAGTGTAGACGTATCACGTTACACACATGCACATCCAATACTTTGGCATTCTCTTCTTGGAAACACGAGATACACCTTCTTGGCATTCCTGCGGCTCAGCAATCTATCGCCTCCCTTGCGTCGTGACGTCGTAGATCCGTCGAATAGGGCTTGGAGGCATGTCAATCAGCCACAAGTGGTGGTACAGGGTATACTAAGCCAATGGAAAATTAGGTTACATTCGTATAACGTGACCACTTTAGCTGTCATATCGCTGGTCCCATAGAGACTGCAGCGGGAACGACCCTTGCATTGATTTGAGTCTTGTTGGTCAGCTACGCTAATCTTGACCGTGCGATCCGAAAACTTATACAACACTTTGGAATATTCTTGGCTAGCGTAAGTGAACCCTCTGTTCGTACAGGTTCATGGGGTATCAGGGAATATATTATCAATTGCCGCGAAATACTCTTCTGCCCGGTCCTACGCCGCATTTACGGACAATATAAAACAGGGTAATACTGAACTCCGACCAGTTGTCTCAGCATACCATATCAAAGATGACATAGTGTCCTTCGCGGTTATCACCTTGGATGCGCTCATAACTGGGACAAGGAAGCCTAATCTCACCGGTGAGCAGAGTACACGATGCCATGTCGCCCATGGGGGCTGAAAATGAAACATCCGCAATCAACGTCCATGAACGTGTCGTATTGATTTTACTTTCACCCAGGGCGAAAGCCTGTAAAACTACAGGGAATATCATATGTTCTGGCTGCGGCTGAAAGGCATGTCGCTCAATAAATGAGTACACCCGAGTAAGTCGCCCTATCCTAGTCCCAACACTCTCAATGGACCTTAAGCCACAACAGAGCGGTCTAGAATGAGGATGCACTGGGTTGAATGCGACAGGGTACGTTCGAAACCTTGTCTATCGGTTTTTAGGTGTTCTAGTCAATTTATAACCAACCGCTCTGCGTAAATAAATGCGCACCTCCAATGCTGGTAGGTTTCCTGATAGGACCCACTCTTGGTAGGAAGGGTTCCACACGAACGAAACATAAAGAGCATACTATCTTTGAACAGGATGGGATAATGTATGTAGGTTTTAATTTCGGTGACACTCAAGATAGGTTGTGCAGACGTTGGATCGTAGATAGCGCCCAGGTCAGGGTTCTTTAATCCGTTCTACATGTTGGTGACATATATGACTCGATACCATCTGTAAACTAAAGGTAACTCCTATAGCATACATTCTCGGCCATCTCCAAGAACCATATATGTTGTCCTGGTAAAATTGTGCCATCAAGTCTCAATTCCCGTATATTAGAAATATTAGAAGCATACAGTGCCAAAAATACGGTCCAGGCTTTTGCTCACAGGTACATACCGACAAATGGTAGATGCTACAAAACCTATGAACGGATCTAGATATTACTACGTAGCTGGTACAGCAAACAATAGACCTGAGCCACCAACATAGGCGCACGTTTGTTAAATCTATGACCTCAACCGAGCCAACGCCCTTCAGCAAAACTGCATTCGTACGAACCTGACGAAACTGAAACACAACGGCGCTCATTTCTCAGGCTAGTTCAAAAGTAAATCCTCCCACAAGGCCAATTGGCTTGTCATATTACAGGCGCAACCCGGGTAAGACCCCCGAATATCTCACAGGCGCCTCATCCGTAACATCAAGTACATATGGGCGTCCTAGAGAAACTGCGGCAGCTTGCATGCCCCCTACACCTTTATCCTAGTATGTAGTGGATTGGTCAACCTGTTAGCCCATCCATGGACTGTGAGTCCCGCCAAGGGAGGAAAAAGAACCAGACCCAATGTCGATTGTATGCCACCGTAGGATGCGACTACAACAGTGGATGGAACATGGTATATCGGAGAGCATCTCGGCACTTCGAATTATGACCACAGGTATGTTACTATCCGTGGACTCCACCAGTGGCAAAATAATATGTCATGGTGACTTTGGTGGCCTGTGGAGCATACCTGATCGCTCTTGACATATTCTGTTAGTGTATTGTTCTTCTTGCTTACGAGTTGGATTAATGGACTTACTTCCCTATCAATACCTACCTAGAAATAGCCAGCCCAGGTAACTTGGATAGGATGCATTCCCAGGTGCAGCACTGGACTTCACTTAGGGTTTGACACCGATCAGGTGAGCACGATGATCGACCAAAGGTTGAAGCCCAAGTTAGCTGACGCCAATGTAGGGATGATCCCAGACTACACTTTATCATCTCCATATAACCCTCCAGGATTCGAAGTTCGATCATGCTCTTATGTCTCACTTGTGTGCAACATGTGCTGTGGTGGCACTGGGTCTTACTAAATTTATAAATATGGCGGCATCATACATTTCACTATAGGTTCTACTGACTCATAGCTGAATGTGAAGAGGTGCATCATTCACACTACATAACAACTACCCGATGGAAGATCCAGCAGTACACTTTGTGCACTCTCGAATAGAGTCTTGACATCATCAAAGCCCGTCCAGTGGCTGGAAAACCTTCATCCAGCGCTGAACTAAGATTAGCGAGGCTGCGTCAGCACGATCAAGGAAGAGCTCACCTTATCATATGGCTTCATAGAGTCCACAAACCTCAAATCAGTCGCCAATCGAATCCGTCTCTGAGGGTCCTTATTTTTGCAACTAGCGTGGACCATCCAAGGATTATGGAAGATGACATCCCCGACCTCATACTCCCCAATCAGCCATTTCCGGTTAGCCTTCTGTCCGTACTCAACCGTATCTCGACTCAAGAATCCACCGTCATTCATATTCTTATTGAAAGCAGACACACGTTCATCATCGGTTAGATCTCCTGCGTTTCGACTAAACTCTTCTTCTGTCGTCTGCCCAATATCGGTTGACCCTTCCAGATACATCAACCCACCACCTTCAAGAGAGATATCGCCAATAGGCACCCACGCCGTGAGACTAGTAGGTGGCCCGGCACGGAGATACATCTGATCGAAGTGGACGGGTGTTAGTTCGCTATCGGGAACGAATGCTCTCAACAGCGTCCGTTGCAACATGGTAATGTGCTCCCATCCTGCGAACTGTCGGATAAATGCTCGAAGCTCCTCTATTTCACAAAGAGCGAGGTAGAACTGAGCCTCATGTGCACTGATCATAAGTTCCAGGTATTTCTCCGACTCTTCGTCATTTTTCAATCCGAAAAGCCGGCGGAGGTTTCCTGGTGGCAGGTACTTGCGGCTGTCCTTTTCGCTAAAGATTCCTTCGACCGCATCCGTGCCGGGTTTGAGGAGGCCAGATGGGGACATGTACTCGAAGTATTCCCGGCGGCATTTGAGGACTGGTTCTTTTGGGAGGAGGCCTTTTACCTAAGTTGAGCCACCAGTGTATTAGAATAGTTTAGATGGGGGATGGCTAGGTTGGATTTACCAGAAGATATCCATCACGGTTAAACCGCTCCCGCATGATTTCCAGTGGGGTATCCTTGGAAGTCGGCTGCAAGTAGCCAATATTCTCCGGGTCCATGGGCCCGAAGTTAGACTCTAGACTCAGATGGCTTGGGTTGGTGGGGTAATATTTGCCATAGATATCGTCGCTGGGGAGGCATGGCTCTGTGCCGGATACAGAGGTCGTGACCTCAGATTCAACCATCGTAGCCATTTTAGGTGTCTGTGAAGTTATGTATGATAGCGATGACAGCTAACAACCTTCTGAGTTTACCAAACAACTGAGCTACGTCTTGGGGATATGTTGTTCTTATAAGCACAGCATGTCGACGACGACTCCATATTCAGCCAATCAAATACCGTGGCCATCTATAGCCGAACTACAGCCGTGCGCCAGTTTCTATAGCCGATGGACAGAATCACTAATATTCCCCGCATTCATCATTTCGATATCTCACTATGCTCTATTGAGATCAAATCGCCAAATTAATTATGACGAAAAGTAAAGGAGAACGTCTCTACCGGGCTTGCATTCGCTGCAGACAACGGAAAACAAAATGTGATCTGTATGTGTCCCGTGCTGCGTGCAAGGGATGATCGGCTAACGGAGCTAGACAATACACCAACGAATACAATTATCATCCTTGTTCGAAGTGCTTTTCAGAAGGACACAGATGTATCGTTGCCACCTCACGACGAGGTGGTGATTACTCCCGGTTTCGTGTCCGTAAATCCCAGAAACACCGAGATGAGGAGCCTCGAGAATGCGATCACCTGCAGCACAGCAATGGATCCAAGGGCATCGACTCAACGAATACAAAGGCCGCAGTAGCAGACCACAGTCTTGGGGGTATTCAAAACCCGTTGGAGCTCTTCAGATCCTTGCACAGACGGCTTCGACCGAAAGGAACGCCGAAAGGAGAAACACAGCAATGTCTCAAGCCCATACTGATCAGATGCGCGCGAGAGAAGAGAGTGGTGCCCTCGCTCGCCCTATCACCCAATATCCGAGGAGCTCTTCGAGTCTTCTAACTAGTGAGCTCATTCAGAATGACATCGTGGATATTCAGTTGCTGGAGCCTTTGCTTCAATAGTATGCAATCCTTCCCGATGCGCCTGCTCCGGACTAATCTTAACCAGCTTTGTCCAAAATTTTCATCCATATCTCCCAATTGTGCCCAGTCATCTTTCTTCTTTGGATAATATCACGCAATCGTGGGCGAAGGAGACGTTTCTTTTAACAGCGGTGTTGACCGTCGCAACCAAGGACCGGGTGGGCCTGGAAAGCTTGCATACAAGAATATCGCAGTATATGGAAAAGCTGTTGCTGCGAGTTGTGTTGGGTGCTGCCAGTGTTCGGCATGTTGGCTCAGTGGAAGGACTGCTGCTTCTGGCTGAGTGGGTTCCACATATCAGTGCCGAGGAATGTGCAAGGGATGCTGCAGCCAACAACGGTCCGTCGCACCAAGTTCAAGTGACGCCAGAAGAGAGTGTTTCATGGAATCTCATCGGTCTGGCGGTCCGACAAGCCTATTTGTTACATCTGGAAAGGTACTCGTTTCGAGGCGAGTGCAAGGATGAGGATGAGTTGGAGTATCATCGGAATAGGCTGGCATGGATTTGTACGAACAATCTTCGCATTCTAGTTTTCGAAGCTAACTTGCCTAGTTACATACCTTGCCGACCGGCAGATTTCTATACAGATGGGACAGGCATTCTGGTGTCGCGGGCCTGGCTTATCCACTCGGTTCACGATCGACGACTACCCCTATTTACGACCCCAAAAGGGGAATGGGGTAGATTATGCGAGCTTTGTCCAGGCTCAAGTTGAGTTGACCACTATCTTTGGGAATATCCATGATATTCTGTACGCGTCCAAAACCCGCACGGTGCAGCTTATGCTCATGGGCGACTACACCAAGTATCTTGACGATAGCTCCAAGGCACTGGCCATGTGGAAGGAAGCCTGGGCCAATGTCGATCTACCTCATTATCTAAGTGGTCTCTTGTGTCTTCAATTCGAGTACCTACGTCTTTACATCAATGCGTTCGCTTTCCAGGCGGTTCTTTATCGAACGCCCAAAAGTCCTGCTGGATGTGATAGTGGGAAGAGTTCGTACTTTCCATACAGCGTCATGGCTAGCGCCGATGGTAGACACATATATATTGCTATTGATGCAGCCAAAAGCGTGCTCAAGTATCTCATGGAGCGGTTGAACCCAACACAGCACCTCCGGTATATTCCTGTCCGGTTCTACCTGTACGTCTGATGCACCTACCACTACTACACACGAATGACGCTCACCGTCTATAGATACGAAATACATGCGTCGGTGTTCCTTTTCAAAGCGCTGACTGTTGGAGCTTTAAACTCTGAGGAACACCAGACCTGTACCACGCTAGTTCGCCAGTTCATCTCCATGCTCAAAAGTGCAGCTACAAGCCCATCACACATTGCCTCCAGATACGGCAAGCTGCTCACAAGCCTGTGGTTCCAAGGACAAACCACCCCCGACACAACAGATGCCTTTGTTGAATCGAGGCACTCGGCACAAAACCTACTCCCGAGTCCCATAGACCTTGACGATTTCACAAATCCATCCATGATAGGTAGTACTAACTCTTTCCAAGATGACTTCCCTACCCAGCAGGTATTACCGCTCCTGGAGCCAACTGAAGCTTTGGAGTGCCCGGACGTTTTCTTGTCTAACCTGCCGTTTCTTCGCGGCGGCTTTCCTGATTTAGATACCCATGGTGTGGGGCAGCTTCTGACGGATTTGTAATTGATAACGCTGGGTGGGCAATTGGATGAGCACAGAGTAGTTAGCAATAGTGGCAATTCTGAAATGAATATCTATAGCCGGCGCTAATTCCCCGCAAAATGAAGCCCGTGACTGTGTCTACCCCGGATTCCAATTCAGGAATAGTGCTACCCCGCAATGTCATGATTGTTAATCCATGGCATTTACTTCCTCTAATCATAGCTGGGGCTGTGGGCAGTATGCTCTTTCCGAAGCTTTGCTAACCTTCATCCAGCGAGCTAGTCAGAGAACGAGGGGAACCTTCACGATGGCCGTCTACAGCCGTATTCTTGGCGTAGATAGACACATCGTGCCTCTGTTGATATTTAAAGGGGCCTTCAATACTAAACCATGTAGCATTGATGCTGGGTAGAGTAGAAGCGCACCGTCCAAATGACACTCCTTCAGAGAATTATCCGAAATGATACCGTCAAGTCGGACCCCCCGGAGGTATATAATTTCCGGGTAGTCCTGATCAGCCTGTCGGTCTGCTCGATCCCTTTCGTGTAGTCTATATCTCATAGACACTGATGGCATCTAGGCATGCGGAGCTTCCATGCTTTTTGGCTTTGATATGGGCGTTATTGGCGGTGTCCTAACCATGAACTCGTTCAAAGAGTAAGTCTCTCTTCTTGAGGTAGCCTGTACAATGCTAACTGAACGAAGGCAATACGGGCTCATAGGAAGGGAAGACACTGTTCTCGCGAACCTAGAGTCGAACATCGTCTCGGTCATCCAGGCGGGGTCCTTTCTGGGAGCACTAGTCTCCACCTACGTTGCCAATGCCATCGGACGACGATTGTCACTGATACTCTCCGCATTGATACTGTTCGTTGGTGTTGCCATGCAAGCTGGTGCTAGTGGCATCATTGGAGTTTTGTATGCAGGACGGCAAGTGAACTTATCTACTTCAGGTGTCTTCATCAGCTAAGGTGTCATCTAGATTCATCGGGGGACTCTCCATTGGGATAGCATCTTCCGTGTGTCCAATATATATCGCTGAGAACGCACCCCGCGGTATCCGTGGATTACTGACGGGGTTCTATCAATTGACCCTAGTATTCGGTCTCACGGTGGGTCTGGACTTACCTATTTGATCGTGCTCCGTGTTTCCAAACCATTCGATATATCTAACAAGGGTACTGCAGTTAGCGTTCTGGATCAACTACGGCTGCGAACGTCATTTAACAGGAAAAGAGCAATTCATCATTCCTCTTTCACTCCAAGCATTCCCCGCCATGATCCTTTTAGTCGGTATGTTCTTTGCAAACGAGTCACCACGGTACCTCGCAATGAAGCGGCCGGAGAGAGCATCACGCGTTCTTGCTACACTCCGGGGTTTACCCGAAGACCATCCGTATGTGATGGAGGAGTTGAACAACCTGCGGTTTCAACTAGAAGAGGAGTCCCAACATTCCGTATCATCGATGTGGTCTCTTCTGAGAGAATCCTTCTCACGAAAGTCCTACCGCCGGCGATCAATTCTCTGTATTACCCTCATGATGTGGAGTAATATGACGGGGACCAACGCCATGACATATTATTCTCCCACAATCTTTGCCAGTGTCGGCCTCTCATCGTCGTCTGTGGGTCTGTTTGCGACGGGGATATACGGTATCGTCAAGTTTATCGCCTGTGGCGTTTTTATTGTTTTCGTATCGGACACTCTTGGTCGCAGAAGATCGTTATTATGGACAGGAATTGTTCAGGTAAGTCCATACCTGCAATGAAGACGATGACTATTAATAACCGGGCATAGGGCATCATGCTATTTTACGTCGGGTTTTACGTCCGATTCGATACCATATCGGAAAACGCCCCAATCACACCGCAAGGATACATCGCCCTAATCGCCATATACCTCTTTGCCGCTGTATACCAATTTGGATGGGGACCAGTGGTATGGTCCTATTGCGCAGTAAGTCTTCCGCATCGCCTTCTAGTGCGCTTCTGCTAACGGCAGGACTAGGAGATTCCCCCGGCACGCCTTAGAGCCCTTAACATGGGCATGGCCACAGCATCGCAGTGGTTCTTTAACTTCGTGGTTGCCAAATTCACGCCGACAATGTTCGCAACGTTGGGGAAAAACGGGTATGGGACCTATTTTGTTTATGGAAGTTTCTGTTTCGTGATGGTCATATACTTGGTTCTTTGTGCCGGAAACAAAGGGTAAGCTTGTGGTTATATTGGCTGCTTTTGATACCCTGACTGGGCTAATCATGACTGATTGTATAATTAGGACTGTCGTTGGAATTTATGGACGAGCTTTTCGAACGGGATACCGTGCGTGGCCAGTTTATACCGACGCGCGATGTGCATTATTTGGCGGGTAAGGGTCAGGATGAGTGAAGTTACACTTTTTGATTGTAGCCAAGGGTAGTAGTAGTGTGTCGTATAGCTAATCATGGCCACCTATCAATATTATGCCAGCTACCTGTGAGTAACATTTGAAATTTATAGGCTTGAAGATGATGTTGACCACGGCTTCCCGATCAGGCCTAGCGCTCACATACCACACATCTCTTGGTGAGATAGTCACGTAGCACACGACTCCTAGTACCATCAACGATTGCGGCTGGGGGCCATGTATTAAGTAGTATGTTGAGCGGCAGTTTGCCTATATATGCTAAAATGCAGAATTATTCTATAGTCTATGGTAGTCTATTCTAGCCAATGATAAAGTAAGCAGGGCCTGTCCACCACTCTATCAAAGAAAATATTCACGCTGTGCTAGACAAGGATGCAAGGGCCTGTAAATCGCCAGGGAAGATATCCACATGTTTAAAGAAAAGAAAGAAAAGGCAAAAAGCGAAAGGAAAGGGTAAAGTCGGTCTATATACAGTCTATGAAAATTGAATAAGAACAAGGGAAGGGTAAGTGAAGCAGCATTAGACTGCGTTTGGAATGTAGCTTCTGCGCATGACACAGAAAGCGCCTTACACCGTGTAGATAGACAGGTATTCTCGCGCACGGTGAGTTGTGCAGTATATAACGTGAAGGAGCGAAGTAGCATATCATCTATTCAGCCTTCTTCGAAGCCTTGGTCCTCAGCTTCATCAAGGCAAAGACCAAAGCGTATCCGCTGATCGCGAAGATAACGGAAATACCGGCGTCTCTCCAGCCGTAGTAGTAGTGGTTGATGTTGAGGGTAGTCAGGAAGTCACTACCAGTGCGGTACTCGCAAACCCTGCAGCCCGATGTAGCGTCAGGGTTGGTCAGGTTGATCCTCGAGCCGCTGCCCGCCATGAAGTCGGCGAGATAATCACCGCAGGTACCGTTGACCGGGTCGAAAATCGCAAATTCATCCTCGTTGCAGGTCACCTTGGCGCCCCAGATGCCGAACACTAGCATTCCAGAGGTAACGTAGTTGAACGGGTTCAGATAGTACATCCAGTATCTCCAGAACACGGTCAATTGGGAGTAAGGTACGAAAATACCGCACATCAAGGTGAGCGTGCTGATGATCAGAGGGTTGACAAGCGCGGCAAAGGTCGGATTTGGGGCGTAGGCTGCAACGAACTGGCCAATACCGGTATAGATAAACTCGTAGATGAGCATGATAAAGAACGTGGCACCGGACCGGTTAGAGGCCCAAGGCAGTCTCACACAGTAATACCAGCAGGCAAAATAGAGAACGGCACAGACGCAAAGATAGGGAAACTCGGAGACAATCAACCCGGTAACAAAGGCAACCCAAGAATACATCTTGGACTTCTTTTCACGAGCGTCGTAGATATCACGGCGCTGGATAAATAATGGCTGAAGTTGGTTAATGACACCAGGCGCAACGAATACAAAGTTGAAGATCGTGAACATCTTCAAGTTCAGAGCTGATACACTGGGGCCGGTGTGCCAGAAGGAGAATCCGTTTAGCAGCGCAGAAATAATGTGCAACGAGAACTTGTTATTGACGTAGTTGGTATTCCGGAATAGTGCGACATTCATGCGGTGGGTGACAATCTTGACTTGATCCCACAAGGGCATCGAGAACTCATAGCCATCATCGTGAGTTCCAGGGGGCTTCGCAGCGGCGTCAGAAATCAAATGATCGAGCTCGACCATCATGTGTTCATGTTCAGGAGACTCAAGCCAGATCTGGTGCCAGTCCTTATCTTTCACCTCTTCGATGCCCCCAGTCACCACATCAATCATGAACTCAGCAGGGTTCGCCTCAATCGGACATGAAGCACCATACTTGCCAAAGTATTGTTTGATGGCGGCGCCGTTGTCACCAATATCTCCGAAATACACCGTCTTTCCGCCCCTAGCAAGCAGAAGTAGAGTATCAAACTGCGCGAAGAGCTGGGCGGAGGGCTGATGAATTGTTACTAGCACGGCTTGACCGACGTCTGCAAGCTTTCGAAGGAATCTGACTGTATTATAGGCTGATTGTCCATCTAAACCAGACGTGGGTTCGTCCAAGAAGATTAGGATACTGGGCTTCGATACCAGCTCCACTCCAATAGTGACACGTTTTCTCTGTTCCACACTAAGTCCATTGCCGACTGTGCCGATCAGAGTATCTGCCAGGTCGTGAAGCTCAAGTAGATCAATAATAGTATCGACGTACTTGAGCTTTTCTTCTCTGGGGATGTCTCTAGATTGCCGGAGCAGTGCGGAAAATTCCAATGCCTCTCGGACAGTTGCGAAGGGCTCATGAACATCCAACTGCTCGCAGTAGCCTGCCATTCGTTGGAATGATACGGGCAGCTCACGACCATCAACCATAATTGAACCCTTGATTGTACCTTCGGTTTTGCGCTGAGCAAGAACGTCGAGTAATGTGGTTTTTCCTGCACCGGAAGATCCCATCAATGCACCTAACATACCAGGTTTAACCCATCCATGGATATTGTCCAATAGAACCCTCTCGCCAGTGGGGGTATCAACTGTGTATGTGAGGTTCTTCCAGGTGAATATGGATGTATTGTGGGTCAGATTCCCTTCATCAACGGAGGTCAACGCATCGCCAGAGCCTTTTTCGCGTGCGGGATCTTTCTCTTTCTGAGCCTCTGCATCCAGATGGGCACGATGGGCCTTGAGTTTCTCCCGAGGGATAAGGAGAGAGGCCCCAGCCCCGGCTCCACCCTTCCAGAAAGAGGTACAAATGATCGTGACGACAGCGAAGAATCCCCACCAGCCCCAGAGAACACCATAGTTTCTCCACAGTTGCGAATGTTTATAATGAAGGGAAAGGAGATATTGGTCGCCCGTAACGTAGTCGGCCCCAGGAAGAGCACCTCCGACACCTGTGCAGGCCTTGTTCGCGGAGCTGACATTTTCATAGCCAGGACCATTGGGCACAAGGTTATTTCCAACACAGGGAATAGTTTGCCCGTGGAATTCGTTTGATAAAGCCGCTTGGAACGCATACGCAAACGGGTTCGTATAGTACAACTCAAGGAACCAGTTCTTGATGTGTCCTTTGGGAATCATATAACCAGCATACATGACGATGCCCTTGACAGCAGTTCCCGAGATCTTCGACGCAGCTTCAAATGTACTAAAAGCAGCGCCAATACATCTGAACAGGGCTGTGATACACAAGGTGGTGGTGAATAGAATAGCCCAGAAGGTGAAAAAAGCCGCCGCAGTATGTTTCAGGCCCGTCATCCAGTAAATCACAATGGCAAAGAGAGTGCATTGGACCAGAAGAACAGGCAGATCGGCGGTAATCTGGGCGAGACAGAAGGCAGATGGGTGGTACATTGCAAAGGACTTGTGCTTAACTAGCACCGGACGACCTTTGAAAGATTCAGTGACCTCAGACATGGCAACGATACAGTTGTACAAGAGCGCAAAGAAGACAGCACCGCCCTTTGTGAATAATCCCGCGGTCGTATCAGGGGAGTTGTAGAAGCAGGATCCAGCGATGAGAGCCATCACAACCGACAGCACCTGTTTGATCAGGAAAGTAGACTTCTCACCCCACAAAATCTGATATTGGCGAATGGTACAAGCGATGAGCTGATCCCAGAAGCAACGGTGAGTGTGCTACTATTTGGAAGGTGCTTTGCCTTTTCCCAGGCCACAGACTCCTTGAACTCTTCCGTCCGCTGACGGGCAGCATCAGATTGAGGATAATCATATTCCCTAACCATATTCTGGTATAACGTGGATCGCTGGTATTCTGCCAAAATCCCCTCGGCATTCTTTGGGAAACGGCTCTCATATCCGGGTCGGATTTTTCGCTCGGTCGGGACAGTCACACCCGTCAAATAGTCACCTGGAATTTCGATCAGTACATGTCCAACGCATACAGGGTCTCTGACAGGTGAGCAGCATACCAATATTGGCACCATCGGAGTACACAAAGCCTAGATTCTCCATGAACGGCTTGGCAGCGGCAGCTGGGCCATAGTAAATCTGTTTTCCTTCGTCCAGCACCAAGACTTTATCAAAAAGGTTGTAGATACCGTTTCCAGCTTGGTAGAGGGTCACAATGGTCGAAAGTCCCATTACATTAGTCATTGCTCTGAGGGCTTTAGCCCACTCCAAGGCTGTGCTCGCATCAAGACCTCTGGTGCTGTTGTCCCAGGTGAAAATAGAGCCATTGGTGGCCATGCATTCGATAATGGAGACTCGTTTTCTCTCACCACCCGAAACACCTCGAACGAATTCATTGCCAACCTTGGTATCGGCAGTGTGTGCAATCTTCATGGACTCTAGTAGAAAATGTTTCGTCTCGGCAACATAATCGTTGACAGATTTGGCTTCAGCCGGAAGATGTGCCGGGACCTTGAGCTTAGTTGCAAAATCCATTGTTTGTCCAACTGTTAGACGAGGATAAAACAGCTCTTCCTCGGTATTCATAACAATCTGACCCCGATAGTGGGCTGCTTCCTCCGAACTCATATTTCCAAAAGATACATCACCGTGCACGGTGTGGTATCCCTCGCGCCGGTTGGCGAGCATCTTAAGAAGAGTAGTGCAGCCCGAGCCCGGACGACCCAAAACGAGCAGCATTTCACCTGGTTTGACACAGCCATGGCTGTCCTGCAGAATTGGTTTGAGTGGTGGCTTCCGGCGCCAGTCCTGAATGAGCTGAATGACATTATACTGAGTCAACTGGTTCTCCTTGACAGCAGCCTCGGCAGCCAATACTTCGACGGTGAGGTTCTGCCATGTTACACCTAGCTCACGCTTTTTGTAGCCTGCCGCTTCTGAACGCTCCTTGTTCCGAATGACTTGGTCTGTCATACTCCATTCTGCATCTCTACCCGGGGGAGGGGTAATATGTGGGCTACCGTGGACGGCAAGGGTTTCGGCACTGGTGGCTTCACGGACATTATTCTCTGGGACACCGAGGGTTGGCTTTTCGCTGTATGTTTCGAATTCCTCGGCAGATTGGTCCCCGTACTCGGTTGGCGCTGTTGAAGCCGGAGGGGCCTCATCGTGAAGATGGAATTCCATCTTGCACGCGCGGTTGTCGAATATAGCAACGGTAGCCTGAGAGAGCTTGGTTCATGCACACAGACGAGGATGACCGGATATCGACATTCAGTTGATATTAGTATGGTCTATGGTTTTGTCCCACCTCAAAACGGAGTAGTTAAAAGCGGGAAAGGCTACGTATATGTATCATTCCTGAAAGTATGGGATAGAACCTTCAAAGTGGGAGTGCCTGGGGGCCTATGTCCTTGTCAACAGTCCCACCAAGCATATTCCTGCGATAATCGTGTTCCCACATAGTCCCAGTTAGGGAAAAGGCATGTTGAAGCCGACTATCCGGGCAGAGAGACAAGTGAAAGATAATCAAGACATAGTCGTTCGTGATCCTCGCCTAATATAACGCATATCTGCCAAAGCGGATCTAGGGGTGCCTTTCCCACCAAACGCTGCAGCCTGATTTGCGAATCCATGCTCCATACAGTCCATAGTCCCGAGATTTTGACATTCTAGAATCTAGTTACACGTGGCCGAGTTCCCCGCTGTGTTTGAGATAACTGCTACAAGTCCATATCTTGTCGGGGATGGATGTGGGAAACGTCCCGATCGAGCCGATCTGCCACATAGGGCTTTGAGAGCCACATTGATGGGTCCTGGAGCCACATGAGACTTATGCCATGCGGGGCTGCCCAGGTTGTGCTAATGTACTGTTTTTGTTTCACATCTTGGATGTGAAGATAAAACGTACCCCACCGAGTGGCGCCGGCGGCGGTTGATCGGCTTAGTCTTGGCTGCCGATATTTTTCGGCCTCCCGACTCGGCACTCCGCAATGCCCGCGCGGAGCTATTCACCTATTAAATTGTATTGTCCTCTACCTTGGTAGCAATAGGATAACTCACACGGTTCCTTGATCTGTAAGACGCAAAATACACACCGCGAAATGCACAAAAAAAATATATAAAATAGTCAAAATCTCGCACAGCATCCTCGCAGTCGAAGACTATTCACACGACGCTGGGATATGAAAAAGCGCAAGTCAATTGATTTTCAATCTTGGTCGAGCCTAAAACCATACATGAACTATAGTATTTGAAGTGTAGTAATGATTATCTACCGTTTGTCGCAGCCACGGGGCTATTATTAAAATCTAATAATTGCAAAGCGGATCACAGGACCACAGGTGGTAAAAAGGAAATCTCCAGAAAGACCTATTTTATTATAACTATAAGTACATTATCGTGATTCGTATCAAATATAGTAACTCTAGACCCTAAAAATACAACCATTGATCTGCCATCAATCTAAATGCAGTGGCTCAGCAGAAATCTCCCAAGTGTCCTCCGTAGCAAGTCCTGGCTGTACATAATCATAACGAGTAGATACTGGGCACGCTTGGTGCAATCGCTTCGTCAAATGACGTAGTCATGTAATCAAAACCCGGTATGAAATCCACACTATTGAAATCGAAAGGATCATCTGGCCAATACTGTGAAGTCTGCCATGGCAGCATATTTCCTGCGTCTTCCAGGGATAGATGGGGCGCAAATAACCCGGCTGGTATTTGCGGCATTGATGATTCGGTCTTGAAGCTTGTGCTTTGCGGTGGCAAACCCGCAGTTTGTGGTGCAAGTAAATCCTGTCCAACGAAATCTTCCGATATGATAGATGGAAAGCGCACTGTTTGTGTAGTCTCAGATGTAGTGTCGATTGACTCTGGGCTTGTTCTGTACTCCGTATTTTGCGTATTGTCCAGCTCACTTTCCAATAGACGGTCTTCTGTCTGCCCAAGGGCTCCCAAACGGCGGAGTATGTCGTGGGTAAGCGGATAGCCGTTATCTTCGCATGGTAAAGGGTCCCCAGGCCATCCTTCTCCTTGTGTCATATGTCGATATAGTTTCTGTACAGCGTAGACTAGCCATTTCTGCTGTTCCTCGAGCATCTCGGCGTATCTGTGTAGCAAAGGTCCGTTAGCTACCAAGACCACAGGCAATATAAGCGAATAAATTACAATAGGAGGACACACTCACCCACTGGGATACACCTTTTCACGGCCTGATTTTCTCTCTCCATAGTTACAGTTGCTCTTGTCTAAAGTACAACGGCTACAAGGGCTTTCCCCATCGCACTGTAAGGGTCAGCACACCGCAAAATGACGCACACGGGGCTTAAATCACGCTTACCTTGGCTTTCTTTGACCTACATCGGTCGCATGCCTTACATACTCGCTTGCGAGGACGATTATCGAAAGTAGACTCTTGCGAAGAAGTCGTTGACGCCTGACGTTTGTTCATTTTGATTTTGAAGTACTAGGGACTTGGCTTTACATCTTCAGAATGATGCTTATCGAACAAGCTAGTTTGATATTAAGTGGATAGGATGGATAGGGAGTTATTAGTCATATATGCAATATTTATGCACATACTTGGGTAAATCTGCTTCCGGGCCCACAGAGAGCCACATTGTATGTGGGGAATTCCCAAGATTAGGATACTTAATTGGCCAAATGCCGCCACTTTGCGAGTGAACACCTTCATGGTGGATCCTGAGGGCCTTGGCGTTCTGGCCAGATTAGTTGATCATTCTGGCAATCCTCCGTACGTTGGGAGTGTTTTCCACCACCAGCAAGTACAACTGAGGCTGAGGCATTTTCGTTAGGAGAAAAGGGGATGGCCTCGAGAGTTTGACGAGGATTTCTCGGAAAGCTCTCCGAATGTTAGCCGTAGAACCAGCTTTCGTCAGGGTCTTCATCGTCATTCTTCATGTGCCATCGTGGAGCTTTCCTTCGGTTTTCACTTT